ATTGTGTCTGCCTGACTCTCAGTGACTTTTGGTAGCTCACAACAATCAAAGAAATTATAAAATCAATAAAAGATAAAAGATAAAAATAAAAGATGACAAGTGCAATAAAGGGAGGGATTTCACTCTCCCTTGCCAAAGGCCTGGGTGAAGAGCCAGGTCTTTATGGCTCTTCTAAACAACAGCAGAGTGGGGGCCATCCAGATCTCGGGGGGAACCTCGTTCCAGAGGCAGGTGCTGCTACAAAGAAGGTGCAGTTCTGGGGTCCTGAGAGATGACATTGTTTAATCAAAGGAACCCAGAGCATGCCAACCCTGCAGGATCGAATCAGCCAGGCTGATGCTATGGGAGGCAGGCAGTTCTTCAAGTAACCATGCCCTATGCCATGTAGGGCTTTATAGGTAACAACCAGCACCTTGAATCACACCCAGAAGCAAACCACAACCAGTGCAGCTCACAAAGCAGAGGTGTTACATGGGCATATTGAGGCATGCCTGTTACTGCCCATGTGGCTGCAAACTGGACCAGCTGAAGCTTCCGAGTGGTCTTCAAGGGCAGCCCCGTATAGAGTGCATTGCAGTAGTCATGCCATGAGGTGACCAGGTCATGAATAATTGTTTGAAAGACCCCCCAATCTAGAAAAGGGCCCAACTGGCACACCACATGGAGTTGTACAAAGGCCTTCCTGGCCACAGGTGATACCTGCTCTTCAAATATGCAAATAAACCAGGAAGATTATTTGGTTGGCAAGCCTACCAACTTAGAAAAAAGAAATACAAACAATATCAGCAATATAGAAAGGATCCAAATTGTTACACTCAAGATTGGAAATAGGAGAATTAGCAGCTTTTCTTGAAGTATTATATTCCAAGATTAATATTGATGAAGTGGCTATGAATAAATATATTGAAAAGTCAGTTATTAAACAATTTAACAATCAACACAGGCAAATATTAAGTACACTTATAACTGTTCAAGAAATAAAAAAAGGAATAAAACAAATTAAATTAGGAAAAGCACCAATTCCAGATGGGTTGATAGCTCAACATTATAAAGAATTTGAAGAATTATCAGAGTCATTGACAAATATGATGAATGAAATTAAAGAAACAAAGGCAATACCACCAACATGGGAATAGACATAAATAATTTTGATTTATAAAGAAGGGAACAACCCAGAGAAACCACAGTCATATAGACTAATTTCCTTGCTGAATGAAGATTACAAGATTTTCACAATACTGGCTGACAGACTGAAGAAATGTATTTCAGATATTATACACATTGACCAAACTGGTTTTATCCCAAGAGAAATATAAAGGACAAGAGTAGGTTTATAATCAATATAACAGGACCTATGAACAAAAGAAGGAAGAAGCCGCACTAATCTTATTGGATGCAGAAAAAGCCTTTGACAATTTGCAGTGGCAATTTCTGCTGGCAGTACTGAATAAAATGAATCCTGGAGGAGAGTTTCAACCTTGGGTTAAAAGCATGTGTCAATGGCCAAAAGTGAAGATTATGGCTAATAGAGCGTTCTCTGCAGATTTCCAAATCAGTAAAGGAACAAGGCAAGGATATCCACTCTCTCCCTTACGGTTCATCATTGCTTTAGAAATATTGGCAGAAAAAATCTGAGGTGATAAACAAATAGGTTTTAAAATTTGCGGAGAGGAATATAAGCTTAAGTGCTATGCAGATGATGTATTATTAACTATTATAGAACCATAGAAGGCAACAAAACAGTTGCAATTGCAAAAGCAATTCATAATTATGGAAAATATTCTGGACATAATATCAATGTTCAGAAAACAAAAATAATTACAAGATTTTTAATGCAAGAAGAAATTAATTTTTTGCAAAAACAAAGTGGTTGTCAGCCCGTTCAGCAAAATATCTCGGTTTGCATTTGACAGGAAACAAGATATATATCAAAACAACTGTGTTAAATTATAGCAAGAGATTAAAAGAGACCTTGAAAGGTGAAGGAACTTAAAGTTATCTTCATTAGGATCTACTGCAATTATCAAAATTAATGTATTACCCAAGATAAACTTATTTATTTCAAATGGTACCAGTCACAATTTCAGAGAGAAATGGCAAGAAACTGTTAGAGTTATATGGAGTGGGAAAAGACCTAGAGTCAAACAAAAAATCCTTCCAGATTCCAAAGAGAGAGGGGCCTTGCCCTTCCAAATTTTAAAATCTCTGAATAGCAGAATGGCAATTTTGAAAGATGCAGATATGGTTCATTCAGATTCTACAAATAGTTTAAAAACACAGCAAGAACTACTTAGTGAAAGCTGGAATATACCATGGCTGATGTATTTACAAATAGTTGGAAGAATAAAATCAGATCTCAAGAAGGAAGGAGGAACATTAAGGGGAAAAAAATTGGAATTTGAAACGCTAATACAAAACCAACACCACCTATTAGGTTGCATGTACTGTATAAACCTGTACTTATGTGTGACACAGAGACAGAATAAACAAAAAACTGTATGATAAAATGGATGCAAAACTTTAAGGAAAACATGACTGGTGTGGGTCTTCCGGGCTATGTGGCCGTGTTCCGGAAGTTTTGTTCCCTAACGTTTCGCCAGCACCTGTGACCGGCATCTTCAGAGTGCAGGAG